ACAAGCTCTCCAGGTAATTGTGATGCACTCTCAAGTTTGAGAATCACTGATCTCTAGACAAAGAGCTTAAACAGACAGGGAAGAAATACAGCACTTTTTAGTTTTTCTTCCCACTCACTGACCTAATAGGCCTTCTCAAAGGCATGGGGAAATGACGTTTTTTTTTTCATCTCCACCACTACTGTTAACCTAGTACTCTGTATCCTGCTTAACACTGCTAAGCAAATGCATTTCTTAAGGGATTAATGTATTCATTCAACAAATATTTATGGCGGTAATGCCTAGTAACTATTCTAGGTAATAGGAAAAGAGCAGTGGAAAAGATAGGCAGCTTTCTGCTCACAAGTAGTTTTCACTTGTGACACAAAGTAGCAAGTGTAAGAAGCCATCTTTACTCATTTCTGCTTGCCAGCATAATTTCACAAAGCCCCTGACTCTGTGACAGCATGAAGCTCTTCGGAAGGATGCTTAGAAGACAAAACAGGATAGAACACATGGCCCCCAATGTCTCTTGCCTGAGTCACTATATGCCTTAAAAGATAAATGACCCTATTCCTTGCCTTTTCCTACACATAAGATAATGTCTGATAGGATTAGCGATTATGCCTCTGCAATCTGTAACTAGATGTACCCTTTGATGTGATTTTGCACATACTGAACCTTCACAACCTGTACATAAACAGTGAGCTGAAACACTGTGTCAGAACAGTCTGACAGAACCTCTATGAAAGACTCCTCTTGGGCTGTAGACCTCAGTCTATAGCTCTCAGTAAGTTTTCTGAATAAAACTAACTTTAATTCTTAAAAGCGTGAATTAATTCTTTAGTCGACACACTCCATTGGGGCCAGGGGAGACAACAAACAAATAAACTCTTACGAAATAATTTCAGGTATAAATAAATGCCATGAATAAAAATAAAGCTGGGTAAGGGGTAAACATGAAGGAAATGAGGGTACCACTTTTGGTGGCCCTCAGAGAAGGCCTCTCTGAGGAGACGGCATGAGTGCAGAGAGTTAACCGAAGTGAGCAACTAAGCCATGCAAATATGTGGAGCACTGCGGCAGATGGAGCAGCAAGTTTAAAAGTCCTGGGAGGAGAACATGCCTAGCCCATTTACCTGGAGACGGTGAGCAAAGGAGAGAGATGCTGGAGATGGGATCAGAAAGATACCACAGAAATGATTCTGGATTTTATTTACCTTTGCATATGTACATTTGGAGATATTAAAGGGTTTTGAATATGGTCTAATGCCCATTCTTAAAAGATTGCTTTTGTTGTTGTCTCTGTATTAGAAAACATGTACATGGGCAATCAGTTAGCCAGCTATTGCAGCTATCCAAGTGACAGTTGACAATGACGAGGACAAGGTTGGTACTGGTGTTTATGATGATCAATGGCTGAATTTTGGGTAGAGACAGAGCAAACGTAATCTCCGAAGGACTGAATGTGGGGCATGAGAAAAAGAAGAGTTTAACATGATTCTAAAATGTATGTCCTAGAAAATGGGTAAATGAGCTACCATTTGTTGAAATGGCAAACACTGAGTGGAAAGCAGGTTTGGAGGGTTGACATCACCAGTGCTGATTTACATATGTCAACTTGAAGATGCTATTAATCATCCAACTACTTGTTTGAAAATACTAATCATTGTGGAAGGAAAGACTTTTTTTGCTAAGAAACTTGTACTTTAGCTAAAGAAGAGAGATACTCAGGAAATATTATGTATAACAGCAAAAACTTGAGGATACACAAACTATTGAATAGTAGGAAAATGCTTATGCAAATTGTAGTGTACACACTCTTTAATATTATGGAATTATTAAAAACTATGATTACTCAAAGCAAGTAATAACATGGAAAATATTTACATTTAATATTACACAGGAAAAATCAGGATACTAAATTGCATATACTATATAATTCTAACAATATTTTACAAAGGAAAAATAGGTTAAACTTTAGACAAATACCTGAAAAAGATTTTGGAAGATTATAATCCTAGTAATGACTATGTTAGGATAGTGAGTTCACAGATGCCTTCTTTTTTCTAACTCTCTAATTTTTACTAAATTGCATTATCCTTAAACCTATCCGTCTACATATCCATAAACACTTCAAAATAGTGACAAATGTTATTGATATTCTGACATGTAACTTTTACATCTTTAGACTCAGGGAAGAAAAATTATGAGGGCAATAGAGCCACTTTCTATATTTACTTCTATAGGGTGGCCACGGTGAAGAAAAAGATTCTTTGGAGTCTTCTCAGGGTACCAGTGCCTAGTTGTATTACTCAATCCATGTCCTATATTTTGAAAAGCTCCTGGCTAAAGAGGAGTCAACTAGTATCTCCAGAAATTTTTAATATCATCACTACTCCCCAAGAAAATAAGAACTAGTGGAAGTATAAGAACTAGTGGAAATGGAAGCCAGATCCCAGAAATCACTCTCCCATATCCTTTTAGCACTGTCAAGGAAATGGGTATATACCTCTCAGGAACCCTGGCAAGAATCAAAAACGATTTGCCGAAAATAGATGGAGAATGCCTACTTAGACTTGTCCATGGCTGTGGTTTCCTAAAATGTCTGTCAAGTCATTTTATGGAGCTCTTTTTAAAAGTTTAATCCACAACTAGAACTGAGATTGATCTAGGAAGGACACTTGACAATGTCATAATAAGGTAGCATATTGGTTTTATTACCAAGGTTGGACTCGTGGAGAGAGGAATCCAAGACAAACAAAAGATATAATGCCTACATGGATGTGTAGTTTTCCATGCTCAATAACAAGTTAAGAATTAGAAAATAATAAAGGAAAACAATTTAGGAAATCTGAAAAAAAATAATTTATTAAATTTCATCTTCAGCACTCGAAACAATATAGTTCTATATTTATACATCAATTCATAAAATAATTCAAAACACTCCTCATTAGGCTCCTATCCTTCCCTGGTCTTTGTACTATGAGAGAAGACAAATAATTAAAGAATATATTGAATATATGAATGCTGAATTACATGGAGGAATCATAAAAGGAACTAGAAGCAAAAGCTGATCTTAGGTGTATGCTAGAAAGACCAGTCAGAAACCACAGGCTATTTCAATCCTTCATCCATGTGAAATCTTCCTCCTGTGTTTTGTAGAACACAAGCCATAGCTCTCCTGTTTTTGTTCCAAAGTGCCTTTCCAATACCAGCCCCTTCTCAGCCTGCTCTCCTTGGTCTGTCTGTACCACTAAGGCTAGAATTTAGGAGATAGGAAGAATCATCAACCTGACATTTGATTTGTTTACAGATGTATATGAACAACAAGTATTTTAAAACTTCTGTCCCTAGAACTAGATTGCAGTGGCATTACAATATTTAAAATTTTTCTATTTGAGCACTGCAGTAGAGTTGTAGCAAAAATTATAAATAAAAATAATAGCTAATGTTTATGATCACTTATGAATGCCAGTCTTAAGTACTTCACAACATTTCAAAAATCACAGCAACCTTTTGATGTTTATACCATTTTTGTCTCCATTTTATAAAGGAGGAAATTGAGATTTAGAAAACTTAAACAACTTGCCCAGGATCACAGATAGATACGGGTGTTGGGAAGGGGAGAGGTGAAAGAATTCAAACCCTGGCAGTCGAACCAAGAGCCTGCATGTTAAAGATTATACCACGGAGTACTACTCAGCCATAGAAAAATGGGGAACTAATACCTCTTGTATTATCCTGGATGAAGCTTGAGGCCATTCTTCTAAGTGAAGTATCACAAGAATGGATAAACAAACAATACATGTACTCACTATTAAATTGGTACTAATCGATCAAAACTTACGCACACATATGGAAGCAACAACATTCATTGGGGATTGAGCAGGTGGGAGGGTAGGGGGGATGGGTAAATTCACCCCTAATGGGTAAGGTGCATGCTTTCTGGGGGATGGGCAGACTTGTCGCTTTGACTGGTGGGGGTGGGATGCAAAGACAATTTATGTGACCAAATCATTTGCACCCCTGTAATTCCTGAAATAAATAAAATAAAATAAAAGTCGATCCTCCAAATTAAAAAAAAAAAAAGACTCATTGGATAACTGGTTAAAACTATCAAAAACTTGTCTTAATATTCGATCTTTGTTATTACCTCCCATGAGGAGAGGCCAGAAATCTGCCTCAGTCCTTGACAGTTACACCTGCTCAGGCTGGCAAGGCACATGTCTCTTACCTAAAGCTTGGGTGAAGATAAAATGAAAACGCTAAAATGCAGAACATGTTGGACAATGTAAACCAGAGTTGGGGGCTGCCTTTTACATATTCTCCTCTCTGTGTACAGGGGAGGGACAAATGGGTGTTAAAAGGGTTAAGGATAAAAAGAACGCCAGGAAAGGCAACACAAGTAACATTCTACCAGCCACAAGGAAGGAGATTTGACAGTGTCTTTCTCAACTTCTCAATTGGCTTTGCCATTGTGAAAGAAACACCAAATACTAAAGCTAAACTCAAGTCTAAACTACAAGTCCAGAACAAAATCTCAGCTGTCAAAAATAGTCTCCAGATTTGCAGAAAGCCCTCCAAAATCTGGCTGGATGGGCAATGATAAATGATTGAGTCCACAAATGAGTTTGGCATTCATTCTGACATAAAGCCACAAACGAGATTGATATGATGAGTGACAGAGTGATGCCTAAAAAGATTTAAAAAGAAGAAAGTGGTAATATTGATATTGCCACAAATTAAATATTTGAACAATGTTTAGACATTGATTCCTAAAAACACAGACAATGGTTTTGAGAGGATATTCTCACGTATGAAGAAATATTACTTTATTTTATTTAAAAAAAGCATAGTCACGTATTTACAGAGGCAGTTTGTTACTATGGCATCACATATGATGTCATAAATTTGACATTCTAAATGTAAAGCTAGACCAAGCAAGGGAGGGAACAGGAAATGGAGCTGGGGAGACAAAAACCCGCAATAACAACAAAAGAATTTCAATAGTTGAAGAAATGAGTCAAACAACCCTGAAACAGAAAAAGAAGGTGAGTGAATTGAGCGTCCTAGAATCTTGCCACAGAGCTTAGGAATTGTAAATATTAGTACATCATCTACCTCTCTAAAGGCTCTGCAACAACCAAATAATTTCAGATAGTGGCAACATCTGAAGGAAAAGGGAAGGAGGAGAAGTCAAGGAAATGAAGAGAGTGGAAAACAAGGAGATTAAAGCATACAGAATAAGTAAATCCAGTAAATCGGTATTCACTGAGCATATGCTCACGTGTTAGTGGTAAGAGGTGAAAAAACAGCTGTTGTCACTAAAGGACCTACAGCCTAGTAGAACAGAATTCACGAACAAATGACCATTCAGTGCTGAGTAAAAGTACGCACAAAAAGATGATGGCAATGCAGAAAAATGTTTAGGAACTTCCCTTGGGTCACACTGAGCTGGATATTGAAGAACATGAAAGGCCAAAGGAGGTTACAAGGAAATAAGGGTGATAGGAAGGCAAATACAAGTCACCTTTATGTTCTAATAAAGTATGGAGTGGAGGCCATGCAAGCTAGAGGTAGACAGGACTACATCACGAGGCTCCTGGTCTGTCTAATCAAATGAATGAAGGCTTTATCCAGGAATGAAGCATAATTTGATTTACATTTTATAAACATCAGTGTAAGTAAATAGGGTGGACAGATCTAGAAGTGGAGAGGGTTTGAGGCTATGAAACCTGTTCAAAAGGCTAAATTCTAAGAATGTAGTCCCATAATGATCAGAGGCCCAGAACAATGCAATCATAATAGTGATAGGGAATAGGGATTGGATTTAAAATATCTTTGAAGTTAGAAATGACAGGATACTATAGTGACTGGTGTGTGTGTGTTGGGGGGTGGTTGTTGATGGAAAGATTTTAGAATTAGTTCAGGAACCATACATCTACACCATGCTCTGCATCACATTCTCATTCGACTAACACTGATGAGATTTCTCCTAGGTGCAAGGCAGAGAGCATAAACAGATGAATATAGACTGCTCTGAGGGACCTTGGTCTAACCCAGAAGTTGAGCTCCTTAAACAGATAAATAACACTAATCTTGATCACATTGCAAATACTGAATTAGCATAAAATAGTACAAATAGTGCTGCAATAAAATTAAGTATCTTCCCCATTTGAAAACGAAAGCATAAATATTTGAACAGGTTTCCTCCAAAACATGAGTTATCTTCTTGTTGCACTCTCTTGGTTGGTTTTCCCTATCAGTTTGTTAGTAAGAAATTCTTTTCCACTCTAGGTGCTATGAGTAATTAGATAATAAGAACAGAAGACATGTTTGTCAATAAATCTGTATGGAATTAAGGTCCTTGTTTTTGAAACTCAGAATAATATTGGTGACACTTAGATCCACAGAAAACTAGAGCTACAGATAATTAGGAAAAAAACCCAGAAAGGTTTCAATTCTATGTGCAAAAGAAAAATTTCCATAAGTAACAATCTTCACAGTAATGGAGAGAAAAAAACTTACTCTGTATGGGCAACTTCACATTTAAATCCAAGTCCTGCTGAGCCCTGAAAAATTCTCCCATAGCATTTCCCATGTTATCATTTTTAAATGATGGATGCTTTATATCTCAAATCTATGAACCAACATATTTCTATATTAAAAATTGTTTACATAATTCTTATTTATAAAATATGTGCTTTTACTCATGCTTGTTAGAATAGGGGAAAAATAATGCCTAAAGTTTACATATTTTTTTATATTGACAAAGAGATGAATTCTATGTTTTATTTATATTTATCCCTTTATTCCCAAACCCAAGGTTTCTAATGGTCCTTACATTAAAAATCAATAAACATTCTTTGTTTCCACATTAAGAATGAGGCCGGAATGAGGAACTCAAAAGAGAGTCTAGACGGAGAAAAAAGAAAGGAATCTGACAAATCGGGAGTCCGTCTGAACACTCAGGTGAGCTGACCTCTGTAGCGGTGGTGAGAGCATTAAAGAGCATAATGGAAAATATTAGGGGACAGGGGAGTCCTGGGAGAGAAGACTGAGCTGTTGAGATTTGTATTAAGGGATACCTAATGTCTTCATGAGGAGATTAAGGAAAAACTAGGAGAAGCTGGGCCCTGCCTTCCCCTCCAGTCCACACCCACCACGTTCCGGAGAATATATGGCACAACAGCAGGCTCCTCTGCTCAGACCTTGGGAGGAGAGTGGTCTTTGTTCAAATCAGGGAGGGAAGGGGAGTCTGGCCATTGCATTGACCATTTTCTGCACAATCTTTCAGATGAAGCGTGCAGTCAATCCGAATCACTCGCTGAGATGTTGCCCCATGCGGGGTCACTCGTCGTGTAGACGCTGCCTTTGTGCAGCTTTGGGAACAGCCCTTGGCCCCTGCTGCACATTACATATTTATATTCACATGTGCCTGTTGTGGGAGCAGGGCCGGCAGATCACCATGATCAGGGTGAGCAGAGATCACACTACTGATTTTGGAGGGGATTTCCAGGCAATCTGGGTGAGGGGAAGGATCTGGGGAATAGAAACACTTTCACTTGCCTTGGGGTGGTCTCCATTCTTCCTTCTGAAAGGAGTGCTTAAAGGCCCCATTCACTTATAAGTAGCTGTCTTAGAGCCCCAAGGTAAGCCACCAGCTGCCCTCACTTTTATTGTCTTGTAAAAATGGTGCATTTGTCTTTTTAGCATCTGTTAACAGGCTCATCCTTAAGGGCAGGAAGTGGGGAAAAGGGAGAAACAATGGTCAACTCTAGTAAGTTCCATAGAAGAGTAATCACAGGTGAAGAAGTATGAGCTACCCAATATGCTTCTTGGTTTTGGATGTTCTTTCAGGGGGATCCCCACGTTTTTTGCTCCAAACAGAAGTTAGCATTGGGCCAGAATTAGAATAGTAGGAAGGGCTCAGGTTGAATTGAGAGTCACAGAGGCCAGGGATCTCATTGGGTGCTGCTATTTTGGCCTGACATGGCTCTTCTGTAGGTACATGCATAGAAGGTGTGGGTGGTAGGGTACTACACCCCTGGGTTTCTTCTCTCCTTGACAGGGATCACAAGAATTGTTGCCAAAGACTGACTCTCAAGGGTACCTTGTGCGAAATCAATGGTCCCGAACATCCCGAACCCCATCCATCAAGGCTGCATCAGAAGAGCCAAGAAGCAAGAGCAATAGTGTTAAGGTGGATACAAAGATGAAAGGGAGGAGTAGATGACAGAATAACAACAATAATTGTTAATATTTATTGATGCTTTCTAAGTGCCAGGCCCTATTTATGTACTTTGCATGTTTTAGTTAATTTAGCCTTCATGAGAACCCCCCTTATCCCATTTTACCACTGAGAAAACTGAAGCACAGAGTAGCTTGCCTAAGATTTCACACTAGTTAGTAGTACAGCTAGGATTAAAACCCAAGGGCTCTAGGTCTACAGGCTGCACACTTCCTCCTTCCTTCCTTCATTCAACAAATATTTATTGACTACCTATGACTCTCAGAAGAGGGGATGGAAAGGTAACCACAAGAGAAAAATTAAAGAATGTTATATTGTGTGGTGCTTTGGGCTCTTAACTAAGCCTGACCACATAAGCAAAAAAGAAAAAAGAAAAAAAAGTTAGTTTTGAAATTAAGTTTTTGAATGCAGAGAAAATGATACAGACCCAGCCACTGAGAAAACATGCATTTCTACCCAATCCATCCATCTCTGTCAGGTTTGGCTCAATAATATAACCAAGAATATCCTTTTTGAGTCACATAAAAACTGAAATAATATATATATGTTTAATAACTTCTTGTCCACCGTGGGAAAGGGGTCCTTTCTCTATAATGTTTCCTTCCTATTTAGGAAGATGACTCTCTGTAATAGTGCTCCCACTGGCACGGGAAGCTCTGATAGCGATGGGGAGACGCTGGAGTCTCCCCATCTCCTATGGACCTTCTCAGCAACCATTCACTGCATCATACACATGGTGAATGGAGAGGGAGACGCCCCCAAGGTGCTATGCGGAGTGTTCTGGTGGGAATGTCGGGCCCACTTTGCTCATCAAGTTAACGGAGGGCACACACAGAGGCAATGGCCAAGCAAGGTCCATTACTCAAGCCCTCTGTCCTACGCGGAGGCCTCTAACTGAGCAGGTATATATATATGGCAAGTAAGGAACGAAACTTTGCAAACTATACGCCCGCTGCCTAAGGGTGAGGAGGAGGACCTGTGTCCTATATATTCAAAACAAACACAACAAAAAATGTGTGAGGTGCTGACGGAAGCTAGGGGAAAATGGAAGCAGACAGTCTCTGTGTCTATTCAACAGAAATACTGAATAGCTGGGGCTTAGAAATGCCACAGTCCCTTCATCCCTACGTAAAGGAGCTGAGATGAAGCAGGATCCATCTAAGGTCTAGCCATGGAACAGGCGGGAGGGGACAGCTCCTTTGCGGGAGCTGGGCAGAGACTGGGGTGCGGGGGTGGGTAGGGACCCCAGCTGGCGTGGAAATGCAGATGCCCCTCTTCTTGCCGCAGCTCCCCAACAGCTCCACGTCCTCCCGGACTTCATCCACCTCCCCCAACCAGCAGGACTCGCCGCCGCCGACCGCGCCGCCCTCTGCACGGCAGTCCGCACCGAACCAGCAGTCCCTGCCGCCCGACTCACGGCCTCCCACGCCGCCGGAGCCCGAGCCCAGCCACCGGCGGCCCAGCACCAAGACGCAAGAGAATCCGGAGTCCCGGACGCAGAGCATCATGCGGAGCTCGCAGCCGCGGGAATATACGCTCACGTCCCCCATAGAGTGGAAGTCCTACTCCCAGCGCAGGATGTTCTACCCCTCCTCCGTCCAGCTGGACCCCGACTGCATGTCCCAGCAGCAGCAGCAGGAGGAGGAAGAGGAGGAAGAGAAGGACGACGAGGAAGCCTACTGGGAATCCGTGAAGAAGTTCTACGAGAAGGTCCCGAGCTGCTCGCGTCCCCGGCCGGTGAGCGGGCCTGCAGCCCATGGGACCCTAGGCGCCGTCCTGGCAGCCCCACAGCCCAGAACCCCCTAGCCTAGCTCCCCTCCGCCGCGTAGGGAAGTCCGTGCCAGCCGCTGCTTCTCCTGCCCCAACCTCGCGCAGTCCCAGCCTCCGCTGGCCCAGCATCCCAGTTTTCCAAGCAGAGGCCTGGCCATTTTCTTCCCGCCCTACCCTGGGTGAGCCCCACCCCTGATTCCTTCCTGTCTGCGTGACTGTCCTCGGGTGCGCCCTCCTCTCCGCAGCCCAAACCCAAGCACGCCATCACCATCGCGGTCTCGTCCCGCGCTCTCTTCAACATGGTGGATGCCCGGAAAGTCTACGAGGAAGAGGGTCTGGAGAAGTACATGGAGTATCAGCTCAACAACGAGAACGTCATCCTGACCCCGGGGCCCGCATTCCGCTTCGTCAAGGTACTCTGCAAGCTATCTTTGGCTCGCCAGGACCCTGGATGGCGAGGGAAGACCTGGGCCTACCCAGGGAGCTCATCCAGATTCCCTGATAATTCCTAGTCCACCCCTGTCATTCTTGCCCCCTTCCAATTGACCCAGGTTTATGCTTTCACAAAGGTTTCCAGACTGTTGAGGAAGGGACTTCAACCCACAACCCTATATTTGGGGTATTGGGCTTCCCTAAATGGAGTCATCACCATGAGACCTCTAACAGAAGCCTTTGTTCCCTCACTTCCTAGAAGGAGTAGTAAGAAGCTATAATGAGTTCACAGTCCTGAGTAGTAGAAATAAAACACCTTATTAAAATAAGATGAAATTTGCTTTAGCTGTTCTGACCCCATACATAGCATATTAAGAAAATCAAGATACTCTTGGTACTTAGGGGCATGATTTTAATAGAGAAGGTAAGTTTCTCTGAACTTACACTTAATGTATAGCACTTACAACTTTGATCCCCTGCATAACTTATACAAATATTATGCACTAACATCATAACCATGGAAAAACAAATGACACCTCTTCAAGTTGTGAGTAGAATGTACTTATGGGATGTGGTAGAACCATGAAAAGGAATCACAAACCTAAAGACCTATGTTTAAAAAATAGACGAAACGCTCACTTTCGCAGCACATATACTAAAATTGGAACAATACAGAGACAATTAGCATGGCCTCTGTGCAAGGATGACATGTCACTCATGAAGCATTACATATCTTTCACAATAAAAATAATCATTAGATGATCAATAAAATCATATTTTAAAAATCAAAAACAAACATATACAAAGCATGACAGCCTCATCCTTCCCTGTATTTATCCCCCAGAGATTATTCTAGTAAACGAAATGTTGTAACAATTTTCACTGTTACATTACCCATGTAGTCAGTGAACGTTAACTGAGGTCCTTTGTATGAGAAGCTGAAAATACAAAAATGCATGGTGTAACTCAGCCTTAAAGGAGCCCTACTCTCTCAGTGAAGAGTCTTCAGATTTTGAATTTGACCCCGATGAGATGCTTTCTCTCCAGCCTCCCAAAGCCCACCTTTCCTGCCCCTCTTTACACAAATTCATGTTTGTAACCTGCAGGCACTGCAGCATGTCAATGCTAGACTCCGTGAGCTGTATCCCAATGAACAGGACTTATTTGATATTGTACTGATGACTAATAACCATGCCCAAGTGGGAGTGCGGCTTATAAACAGCGTCAATCACTATGGTAAGTAAAATAAATACCATGTGGAAGACCAGCTCGCGGCTCTGGAGGAGAGAAGTCATGTTATTTTGCTAACTGTGGCCTAACCAATGCAGTGTCTTTGATACTGACACCCCCTTCTGCGCAAGGAATGTTTATTTGCCTATGTCAGAACAAGAAAGGCCATGTTCATTTTTAACTTTAGCGCAGAGTTGGGCTCAAAGCTCTGGACTTAACTTGTCAAGTGTGAATTTCAAAGTCTTAATCCCAGGTCCTGCAATATATTTCTCTGTTTTATGTTTTTTACTTCTGAACTTGACTTCAAGGAGCCGTCAACCCAAAGGCTTTCTCTGTGATCAAACTTCTTGCTCACCACAGATCCGTGTTAAAGGTTTAAAGGTTTTCACCTCTCCTTTCCACTCTTAAAATATGATTGCCCCGGCTGCTCTCTCTCCCCACACATCAAATCCATA